AGTAATATAATATCACATAATCTTAACATAAATGTTACGTGACTTCTTAAGATTTAACAGAACTAAAGGGTATTCAAAGTGTTTCAGACCAGAAGTGTTTCAGATTTCAGATTTTTTTTTCAGGTTTTGGAATGTTTGCATATAAATAATGAAATATCATGGAGATGAGACCCAAGTCTAAGTACAAAAATTGTATCTCTTTTTGTTTTTTATATACAACTTTACACTTAGGCTGAAGTGAATAATACAATATTTTTAGTGTGCTTGCATTATGACTTCAGCTTGTCATAAGGTCAGCTGTGAAATTTTCCTTTTGTGGCCTCATGTTAGGTACTCAGTTTCAGATTTTGAATCATTTCTAGTTTCACATTTTCAGTTTAGGGATGCTCATCCTATAATGGAAGCCAGGTCTTATGCAGAATATTGTACCGCTGTCTCCACATGGGTATCCCTCTGTTACTTCAGTTTTTTGTTTGATTTATCTAAAATCACCCTCCCCAACTTAGTTTCCCCTCTAATTTCCTCATTCTCTTTAGTGGGACTACCTTTTTTTCTATTCCTTTAAACATAAATTATTTTATGTACATACTTCCTTTACTCCCTCTCAAGTTTGGTGATCTCTCTTCAACATACTTTCACATTTCCCCTCTCCACCCTCATTCAACTTGCTTCTCTCTTCATGTGGAAGTTGTGGTAATAACCTGCTATCCTGTTTCCTTAGCCCCAGGCTCTTCCCATCTCTCATGGGCATTACAGCCAAAATAGTCTTCCAAAGTATTGATGTAGCCATGCCACTTCTTTGGCTCAAAAATTTCTAAACAGATATTACCTAAAAATTGGAGTCTAAATTCATATTTTCAAGAATATAATGGTCAGTTCCCAGCTTACATGAACCCAACTTTATTTCCCACTGCTCCCCAAAAAAAAAAAAAAAAACTTATTGTTCTAGAAAGATTCCATACCTTATCCCTTGAATGTCACACTTCCAACTCCATTTCTTGGCTTATAAATTTTTATGAGAAAGTATCTGATTCTTAACATTTTCACATTTACATCACTTCCCATATTCTTTTTTTTTTTTTTAAGTCTTCTCAAGGCACTGAGTTGTGTTTTTTTATCTATTTACGATAACACCACTCTTGTTCAGAAAGAAATAGAATGAATAGTTGCTTAAACTCTTTAAAAATAACTGTTCCCCCCAAAAGTAGTATTTGAAATTTCAGGTGTTAGAGGACAGGGCTACAACTCAGTGGTAGAATGCTTGCCTTGCATGCACAAAGCCCTAGGTTCATTTCCCAGCAATGAAAAACAAACTAACCAGCCAACCTCGGGAGCCAAATCAGTGAATCATTTTGAGATTATCTTTTTTCTTTTCTTGTGTGTTTTAGGTTTGGTTCCTTAACCATGGATGGTGGCCTACGCAACGTCGACTGTCTTTAGCTTTCTAAGAAGTTTCAGAAAAATTTCAGTTTGCACAAGATAATGCTGGGATATTAAATGAAAGCCTTTATAGGTGGTCTCTCATTTCTACAATTCAGTATTTGATGTGGTCTTGTAAATATGTATAATATTGTAAATACATAAAATATATAAATTTTTGGCTGCTGTTAAGATGTAATTTTGCCTTTTAACATTTATAACTACACGAGGCAGTTTGACCTCAGCAAGCATTAGAAGAAAGCCATGACTGGCTGACAAATTGAGATGCTGGTCCTTCACTCTGACGAAAGCTGGAGAAGTCATATTTCTCCAGCTGCCTATTGGAATATTTTTAAATGGAACCAAATTGGCATCCTTACAAATCAAAGACTAATAGTTGGCAAGTTTATAAATGGTTAGAATAGAAAGGTGGCTTTTGTGAGTGGGGAGCAGAAGTAAACCACTGTTTTATTGGAGTCACTTTTTTTTTTTTTTTTTGAGAAGGGTAAATGTACATTATTTCATTTTATAAGGTGCCCAGAGCCCAGTTTTCCTCCTGTTTGTTTAATTTCAGATGAATTATTGAACAAAATTTTTAAAGTGAATTAATTACTTTATTCATTTTTGGCCATAAGTGTATAATTGTCATTAAAATTTTAAGGTCATTTCAATTATTTAAAGCTGTATATTTCTTTAATCCTGCTTACTATTTCATGAAAAAAATAAATTTCTCAATTTTAACGTAAAAAGTTCATGTGTTTCTATTTATCCAGTATGAGAAACAAAAATCATCTTTTTCCCTCCCTTTCCTGTAGTGCTAGGAGTTAGCCCAGGGTAGTTCATACAGAGTAGTGCTCGCTAGGCAAGAACTCTACCACTGAGGTACATTGCCAGCCCAAAAGTTATATGTTGAAAGGTGCATATGGGTAGTGATGGTAAATTATTCTCAACATACCAAATGGGGTGACGGTTTTGTGTTTCTTATAAACCCACTAATTCCAAGTTCTTTCATGAATTTATGCTATGCATATTGTAAGGGAATTTTTTCTTTGAAATATCTATTCTGAGTTCTAGACACAAAGATTGTTTGGAAATTATTTTATTCATTGGAATTTTTATTTGTTTTGATTTTGGTTTTTGGCTTATCACACTATTGAAGGATGAATATACACAACTGTGTCATAAAGATAATATGTACTAAAGAGTAAATAAATTTGACTATCATGATACATTGAGAACTGAATCATCTTAAAACTGAAAATGTATTAAGATTTTAATTGAGATTATTGATGCATTTTTTTTGTATAGGGAAATTTCAGTTTCACACGTATACATCATAGAAATAAACGCAGAGATAACTATTTTTATTTATATAGTTGTGCAGTTACTTGGTGTTGAATGCCTACTTAGTCTAGAGTGTGAAACAAAGGGGCATTTAATCCCTCTTGATTTTAATTTTCCATTTTACCATCTAACATATATATCTTGAATTGCATTGTTTAAATGTTTTATAGATAAAATTTTACTCAGATTATGTGGATAGGTGGTATATTTTCAGGTTTTATTTTTATTTTGAGAGAAGAATACCAGTAAACAAACACTTTCTATTAGTATTTTTATTAGTGGGATTGGTAGGAATATAATCTATTCTACATTTGTAGTTTTTAACTTTACTGGATTTTTTAGGTTTTTTGTTTTCTCCATTATAGTAACATGGAAACAGAGGGGTTTTTGTTTGTTTGTTTTTCTTGTGGTACTAAAGACTGAATTCATGGCTTTGCAAATGCTAGGCAGGCACTGAGCTACTTCCCAGCTTGTTTTTTTTTAAGACAGGGTCTTGCCAAGTTGCCCATCAAACTTGTGATCCTCTTGCCTCAGCCTCCTGAGTAGTAGCTAAGATTACAGGCATGTGCCACCACACCCAACTTCTTTTAAATCCTCATTTAAAACTTTGTTTACAGTCAATAAATACATGGTGTACCAGTCTAGTAATTTTCAGAGACTACTAAAGTTTTAGTGACTGCTGAAACTAGTTTTACAATAAGTTTCATCTCCAGTTTAATTGCTTTTTTGTTTTCAATAATAGGCTGTTTGTAAATGATGGGAATTAATGATATAAAATATAGAATATATAACAAATGTAGAAATTAGTAGATTAGCACTTAACATAGAAGTGAGGCTATAGTTCTGACTACAGAAAAATAAAAATGAAGTAAGTGAACATAAAATATGTGAAAAGAAGAGGTGGCTTCAAGTAAATAAAAAGAAATTCGAGATTTAAGAAAGAAATTTGAAAAATAATCCTATTAAATCTCCTAAAATTCCAACTTCTGGGCTAGGGTGTTGTAGCTCAGTGGTAGAGTGCTTCTCTGAGGCCCAAGGTTCAATTCTCAGCATCACAAAAGAAAAAAATTTTTTATTCTTTTATTTAAATTCTTCTATTATTTTGGAAATTACCAAGTATTATTACATCTGTGGCTTAACAGACTTAATTATCCTATATCAAAAAGAGTCTTCTTAAATATAAAAATATATAAAATATAAAATTTTTCAAAAATTTATTTAAAAATATACTTAGTACTGGGCACAATAGTGCAACTTGGGAGACTAAGATGGAGTATTGCACGTTCGGGGACAGCCTTGGCAACTAATGAGACTCTCAGTAACATAATAAGAGCCTGTCTCAAAAAATAAAAAAAGATTGGGAATGTGGTTCAGTGGTAAAGTGCCACTGGATTCAGTCCCCAGTACTGAAATAAATAAGAATAAATTAAAAGAAAAAAAAAGTAGTGGTAGAGCTCCTGCCTAACATGCAGGAGGCTCAGCACTGAAGAATATATTATATCTTCATCAGTAAATTATACAGAAAATAGTTACAATAATCTTGATTTTTATTTCTGGAGGTTTTTTTAATGTTCACTTTTTTAAAACATGGTTTCATTTTTTAATACCTTTGTGGTTTTTTTGTTTTGTTTTGTTTTTTTGTTTTTTTTATGTAGTGCTGGGGATCAAACCCAGTGCCTCATGCATGCTAGGCAAGCACTCTACCACTGAGCCACAACCAGCCCTAATGTTCACTTTTTGTGATGTTCTATGGTTAAAAACAAGAGATACATTGTTTGGAATTACCTAAGGAATCATCAGTAAGAATAAGCACTCTCAACTATGTTGTCAACAGTTTTCTCCCTTCACAATTACAGCCATAGTCACAGCTGTAATTAAAGGCAGAAATAAGGGCTGGGGATGTGGCTCAAGCGGTAGCGCGCTCGCCTGGCATGCGTGCGGCCTGGGTTCGATCCTCAGCACCACATACAAACAAAGATGTTGTGTCTGCCTAGAACTAAAAAATAAATATTAAAAATAAATTCTCTCTCTCTCTCTCTCTCTCTCTCTCTCTCTCTCTCTCTCTCTCTCTCTCTCTCTCCTTAAAAAAAAAAAAGGCAGAAATAAAATTGCCTTGTGTTTCTGATTTCACCCCACTCTGTTGTTTTATCCATGTGTTTGTATTTGAGGTAGAGCTGCAGAAAATTTAGTTACTCTAACAAATTTTTAAAACTGAAATCAGGCATGACGATACATACCTATAGTCTCAGCACCGGGGAAACTCAGGCAGAGGGATCCCTTGAGCCCAGAAGTTCAAGACCAGCCTGAGTGATATAACAAGACCCTGTCTCAAAAAAAAAAAAAAAAAAAAAAAAACTTTTTAAGTGAAGAAATAAAACAGAGAGGTTCTGGAGGCAGACACTGTTGAGAATAAAATGTTTAAACAAGTCTTAATAATGTTTTATATATATATATATATATATATTTAGTTGTGGATAATACCTTTATTTTATTTATTTATTGCCTTTATTTTGTTTATTTTTATGTGGTACAGGAGATCAAACCCAGTGCCTCACGCATGCTAGGCAAGCACTCTACGCCTGAGCCACAACCCTAGCCTCTTATTTATTTATTTTTATGTTGTGCTGAGGATTGAACCCAGTGCCTTATGTGTGCTGGGCAAGCACTCTAACCACTAAGCCACAACCCCAGCCCAACAGTATTGTTTTATCTGTATTCCCTACCCCACATTTTTAAGAAGACAAAAGTATCTGAAAAAGCTGTACACTGTTGTTTTAGTTGGACTTGATTTCTGATTGTCACTTCAAGAGGATTCAAAGTCCAAGTTCCAAACAAATACTGAAGTGGAGTATCAACCAAAAGCATATGATCTGGAAATAAAAACTAGCAATATAATAATATCCCCCATTTCTCTTTGGAGTGTAAATCGGCTCCAAAAATGTACTGTGCAAGCCCAGGAAAAGCAGCTCAGTGACCTAGCAAGTACAAGGTCCTGTGTTTGATCCCCAGCACCACCAAAAGAGAAGGGGGGGGGGGGGAGGAGCTCAAATATTGCATCAGGCTACTGTAGGTACTAAAAAGCATATGACTACATGAAGAAGTTCCTTTCTTTTCACAAACAATGCACAAAGCCCAAATGTTAGATGTAGTTTTAGTGGGAACTTCAGTTCAAGTCACATAATAGACAGCTAGAAATCAGGGCCAATAATGTTAAAGAAAAGTTAAAGAGAATTGTTTATCAAAATGTTAGAAATCATGGAGCTGCAGTTGCGGCTCAGAGGTAGAGTGCTCACCTAGACGTGCGAGGCCTTGAGTTTGATCCTCAGCACCACATAAAAATAAATAAAGGCATTGTGTCCAACTTAAAAGGTATTGTGTCCAACTTAAATATTTTTTTAAAAAATGTTAGAAATCAAAACAGGACCTTGGGAAAGAAATCAGACTCACATATTTCTTGTCTTATAATTAGTCAAATTCTTTTTTTCGCCCTAAATTCTTGTCATGGTTTAAAATAGGTGTCATTTTTCCAGTAAAAAAATATATAAAATGGGATCAAGGCCACCTTTGGGAGATAGCTTGTCAGTCGCTATCTAAGTCCTACAAATTGCCATTGACAATTCTATTGGATGCTGAGTTGGATACGGTGGTGGTGGTGGTTTCAGTCCTCTCTGAAAATTGTTTTTGTGAAGAAAGTCAAGGGATCCATGCTTTAAAATTGTCAGCTGTTACGTTAGGTTAGAGTTTCTCCTACGACAGCTTAAACTCTTTCTTTAGAAAGAACATCTATTAATATGGTTTCTAGTTATAAGGGCCAAAGTCTAAAGGACAAGTCAAAGGAATGACAGAGAAAGGGGATTTAGGGCTAACAGGTGGTCTCCAGACACATTGGCTAAAGGAAAGTTCACAAAGTGTCACATGTGGGTGTCACAGTGTTCCTCATCCATGCTCTGTGGAGAGTCACTCTGGAACTCTTGGTCTCAGCTATGGCCATAAGAAATGACTTTAACAAAACCTTCAGAAGAATAGCCCATTTCTTTTACTGGTTACCCAAATCTCTGATCTGCTCAAAGAATCAGAAATCCAAGTTGCTTTGGAGCCAAAAAGGAGGTAAGTTACTTCAGACTAATGCTTGGTTTCAAATACATTTTTTTCCTATTACTAACTTTCCTGAAGTGGTAGTGGTGTTGGGGGTGGGGGGGTTAGAGGGCAAAAGGAAGAGGGATAGAGGTCTTAAAACTTTTTAAAGTATTGATATTAAAAGCTACAGGGCTGGGCGTGAGACTCAGTGACAGAGTGCTTGCCTTGCAAGTATGAGGTACTGGGTTCAATCCTCAGCACCACGTGAAAATAAAAATAGATGTATTGTTTCCACCTACAATTAAAAAAAAACATTTTATAAAAAGCCACAAACATTTTTATAATCCAGTTTTTTTCCTTTTTGGGCATCTGCTTCAGAAAAGTTTTCTAAAGAGAGATGGAGACTTTCGTTTTTTTAAAAAAAAATCTTATTTTCAGTGAACCTTAACTTGCTTCTTGTACTAAAATCTCTTATAACACACAGAAAAATAAATAAATCACGGTAGGTTCCCCTACTTTTCCCTAGGGAACTAAAAAAATTAATGGACCTCATGTCTTGTTTGGGTTAGTTAATATATCATACATCAGTCAGGTATTTATTGGTGTGAGATTTTAAGCACACTAAGGATGCTACTGCACAAAACTCTGTATTTTCTATCCAGTCCTACCTGACTAGAGAGTGCTAAGGTCAGAGGAGAGGGGATCAAAGGGAATGGAGGATCAGTTGACACTTCCATGTCTAGTATCTAAAACTCCTGCAGAGCCCTGCTTTTGCCTGCATACTCTAGGGGACCAGTGTTAGTTTTACCACTTAGACTAAGGTAAGCCAGTTCTCTCACTTCATGATGTCTCATCTTGTAGCTGAATCATAGTTCTAAAAAGGCTTCTTCCACACCCATATAGCTCAGCATTATATATTAAGTGCTTAACTATTTCCACTTGTCTGATAATCAAACATAAGGACATGATGAATTACCTTGCCCAGATCCTCCTCTAATTAAAACAAAAGTGATTCTGATCTATAATCACCAGGGATTATGAAATGTATAAAATATAAGTATATATTTCAGTCATCTGTTTTGCTTGGATTAATATTTTCTTTCATTCTTTTTCACTACCAAATATGAGGAATTTAGCTTAATTATTTATAAATCTCTGTGTATATATACTATCCCTCATGGGTAGAATAGTGTAATTTGAGACATTAGAGCAATAGAGGGGAATTTAGGAAAATTGTTTCTCTAATTTCTTCATTTCGAAGATGAGAAAACTACCTCCAAAAGGCTAACCATCTTAGCCTCCCAAGATTATTACATGGGCAGATGCAAAACCTATTCCAGATTATCCTCATCTTCGTCTAGGGCTCTTTTACCACACCATAGTACTGGAGAACGTAAAGATCAGACACTGTGAGCATGTGAACCCTTACTGAATATTTTACATATAGTAGTCTTCACCATGGATAATCTAACCTAGAAGATTAGGTCATCAATTTTTCCAAAGTAAAGCTTGGTACTGTTCTGGTGGAGACTAATGGCCTGTTTTCTAAGCAGCATTTTACTTACACACAATCTTATACAAGAAAGTTTTTTTGTTGAGATATTACCCTATCATAATGAGATTATTTAATACATGTCTTACAAGACTATATTCCCTCATGATCAAGGACTATCTTTTAACTGGGCATCATGGTGCATGGCATCCCAACTACTCGAAAAGCTAAGGATCTCAAGTTTGAAGCCAGCCTCAGCAGATTAGCAAGTCCCTGTCTCAAAATGAAAAAGACTGGGAATGTAGGTCAGTGGTAGAGTGCCCTTGGGCTCAAACCCAAGTACCATTATACCACACACACACACAAAAAAAAAAAAAAAAAAAAAAAATCTTTTATCTGCAATGTTTGATGCACAATGTTTTGTAGATAACTCTTTGTTTTACTGAATCAATTTATGAAGACAGTCTTTTAAGATTTTGAGTTGAATTAAAAGAATGAATTTAGGGGGCTGGAGTTGTGGCTCAGTGGTAGAGCACTTGTCTAGCACATGTGAGGCACTGGGTTTGAGCCTCAGCACTACGTGAAAAATAAAGTTAAAAAAATATTCTGGGAACTTGAAAAAAATGAATTTACTCTTAAAATCTGCTAATTCCATGATCTTTGCTCCACTCTCTTATGAGTTGATGTATTATGGCTACCAACAAAAGGTAGCTCAACACCAGGTTGTTGTTATTATTTTGTAGTGCAGGGGATTGAACCCAGGAACTTGTGCATGCGAGGAAAGCACTCTACCAACTGAGCTACATCCCCAGCCCCATGGTCAGATTATTGCTTCAGGATTAGACTTTTCCTATCACTAATCAATATCCTACCATAACCTAAGGTTCTTTTAGTACCTCCAGTCTAGTCAACCCCACTTGAAAACTTTTGAGGCAAAACCTGTGATTTGTATTTAATGTTAATTAAGTAAAGGCTCTCAAATGGCTTTGCTGCTGCATAACTCATTTAGTTTACTCTCCTTCAGCTCTCTAACTCACTTGGAAGATAATAAGTCACCCCGAGGCATGAATTAGGAAGAAAGGACACATCTGAATTCAATACAAATTTTAAGCCCCTTGAGTTTCTATGGTATTGAGAGAAAAATGTGGAGAGGTATATGAGAAAAACCAACATTTCATGGCCTGGAGCCATTTCTAATCTAGTTGTGGAACCCCAGCTAAGTATGAAACAGCAGAGTTCAAGAGCTTTGTACTCTGGTGGAAAGATCAAAGGAATTCAGAGTCCAACCTGGCTTCTGCTACTGGGAGCTGACCTAGGCAGTCATTTAAATCTCCCTAACTTGAGCTTTCTCATTTCTAAAACATAGGGATTGGTCTTGATCTTAAAGGTTCCTTTCAGTTCCATAAATGCCATACAACAATACCTGATACACAAAGCAGCTGCTTAATTGTTGAAGAAAATTAATAGGGAAAGATTACTTGATGTCCAGTAGTGCCGCAGTCTGGCTGGGCACAAACCACGAGCCACTGAAGCAGGAACAAACTTCATATTTTTGAACTCCACCAAAATACTTCACACACGCTCCCGGGGAATTCTCCCAAATGCCATGCGGCTCGTCCAGGAACCAGGACCCAGCAGCCGGAAATATCCTCCAGAGATCCCTCCTCCTACACTTCCCCAACCAATGGGAACTCTCCGGGAATCCCCACGAGAACTCCAAAGTAGCGTGAGAACTGCAAAGTAGCGGCTGAGGCAGATAGTAATGCCTCTCCTGTCAATCAATACTATTGGCAAAATGCCAGGGGCCATTCCGACTCAGCTGTGGCTCTCAGCATCTCCCCCCTTCTATTTAATTAAACAACAAGCAATGTGGCTTAGGGACCGTGCCTGTAGGTTGTCCAGTACAACATATGGTCCTTACCTGTCATCGGATGAGCTGACCTCTAGGCGTCAGCCTCCTGTCTTAGGTTGGTACCACTGCAATTGGATCATACCCTTCACTGACTACCGGTCCACCATACAGCCATACTTGTGGAATGGCCTATGCACCAGTGGGGGGGTGAGGTTCTTGCCTCACCTCTGTTGGCCCCCAAATTTGGCCTTGGTGCCAGTGGGGGGGTGAAGTTCTTTGCCTCACCTCTGTTCGCCCCCAAATTTTAGACCATCACTAGCAGAAGGGAGGAGGATACAGAAATGCCACGACACTAAGCCAATTGACGACTCCTTTGAAAAATTGTACCACCGGTGACACCATCAGCAAAGATACCCCAGCACTACCACAATTCGCTGCACCAACAGATAGTTCACAATCCATACAAGTGATACATAGTCCAGGCAAGTTCTGCAAGCAGTTCAAAGTGGAGAAATCTATCAATATGTCCATTTCCTCCCAAAGTAAATCGACTCCTTGATTGAGCATTACTTGTTGAGTTATTATTCATTGATGCATCAGTTTATACAGTTTACTGTGACAGCTATCAAGGAGGCTGTAGTTTGGTTTTATCTTTGTCTTCACCAGCACTGGGATGAAGATAGGAATTCTGGCAATGATGCTAAAAAAAAAAATTATGTAACATTCCAACAGGTACTAAGAAAACAATTTTCTGAACAATTTACATTATCCTGAACAGAATTATTAAATATAACGAAAAGGAAAGGTGAAAGTAAACAAACAGATCTGTTAACCTCCTTATTTGTTCACATATTAAAACAATCCTCAACAGCTGTTTACCCAATTTAAATTAAACCATTTAAATCACGTGAATAAAAAAATTTGCAATAATAAAACAGATATTGACAAAAGCATCCTGGTTAATCACTGTCGCAGATGTAAGAATTGCCAAGCTGGAGCTCTGGATATCAGCTGTTATGGATTTGAGTCAAATCATCTTCTTTTTGGTCTTTAGAAATCGCTTTGGTTAGTCTCTCTGGAATCCAAATTGGCTGCTGTTCTCCCTGTGGAAACACACAAACAGAACCCCGACTCCAGACAATCACTGGGTCAGGACCTTTCCATTGTCCTGTTAGAATATCCTTCCAAAGTACCTTAGGCTTATGTACATTTTTTGGACACATATGCCTTTCCGCAGCACTAAGCCCTGATGAATCCAAATTTAAAAAGTTTAGAGTAAAAAGGGTTATTTTAAGTTTATCTTTGGGGGATATATACCCCTTTCCAATTCCCTCTTTTTGCTTTAATAAGTACATTTTAATAGTTTGATGAGCTCTTTCAACTATGCCTTGTCCCTGTGGATTGTATGGAATTCCTGTTATGTGAGTAATGCCAAATGATGAGCAAAATTGTTTAAAAGAGGTAGAGGTATAGCCAGGACCATTATCTGTTTTTAACTGTTTTGGAACGCCCACAGTGGCAAAATTTTGTAAGCAATGAGCTATAATATCTTTAGTTTTTTCTCCAGCATGAAGGGAGCCCATCAAAAATCCAGAAGAAGTATCAACTGTAACATGCAGACATTTTAACTTTCCAAATTCTGGCAAGTGTGTGACGTCCATCTGCCAAATATGGTTAGGTATCAGTCCTCTGGGATTGACTCCAAGATTAACTTGTGGTAAAAAGGTCACACAATTTTGACATTGTTTTATTATTTGTCTAGCTTGTTCCTTAGTTATTTTAAAACGCTTTTGTAAAGTATTAGCATTGACATGGAACCTTTTATGAAAATTTGTAGCTTCTTCTAGTGTAGAGAAAATATGTATGTCATGTGTAGTTTTATCTGCTAAATCATTGCCCAAACTAAGGGCTCCAGGCAAACCTGTATGTGCCCTGATATGTCCTATAAAGAATGGGTCTTTTCTGTCCCAGATTAGACTTTGTATAGTGGAAAACAAAGAGAAAACAGTAGAGGAAGGGGAAATCCTACCAGCATCTTCAAGGGATACTATAGCATTAACTACATACTGACTATCAGAAAATAAATTAAACACAGAATCTTTAAACATCACAAAAGCTTGTAATACTGCATTAAGCTCAACCTTTTGAGCTGATTGTTTGGGTACTAAAAATGTAAAAGTTTGATCAGGGGTAACTACTGCTGCTGTACCATTATTTGACCCATTAGTGAATACATTTGGAGCATTCATGATAGGTGTTTTTCTTGTCATTTTTGGAAAAACTACAGGATGCGAAGACCAAAAAGACAACAAAGGATTAGATGATAAGTGATTATCAAATGAAACATTAGATTTACACATGATTATTACCCAAGTATTTAACTCAATAGCTAACTCATCAATTTGATCCATAGTATATGGAGTAATAATTTTATTGGGAGAAATTCCAAACACTCCCTTTGCTGCTTTTATTCCTTTGAGTATTAATTTTCCTACAGCCTCAGGATACCTAGTAAGAATAGTGTTAGGAGAATAAGATAAATGTATCCACAATAATGGACCTTCTTGCCAAAATACTCCTGTAGGAATATTTTTTGTTGGAATTACAATAAATAATAAAGGCAAACTTATATCAATTCTATCCAAATGCATATTTTCCATATATGTTTCAATAATTTTTAATGCCTTTCTTGTTTCAGGCGTTAACATTCGGGGTGAATTTGGATCTGATGGACCTTTTAGGATATCAAATAAAGGTCCCAACTCTCCTGTTGGTATGCCTAGATAAGGCCTTATCCAATTTATGTCTCCTAATAACTTTTGAAAGTCGTTAAGTGATTTGAGTTGATCTACTCATATTTGAATTTTTGGTGGACGGACCATGGTTGAGGACAATAGAACTCCTAAATAATTAATTGGAAAATTTAATTTACTTTATCTATTGCTATCTCTAGATTATAATTTTTTTAATAAATTTGTAAGTGTGGCATAACATTCTAGCAATGTGTTTTTATCTTTGTGTGCTAACAATACATCATCCATATAGTGAAATACTTGTAGTTCAGGATTTTGATTTCTAAGTGGCTGGATTGCTTTGTTAACATAAATTTGACACATAGTTGGGCTGTTAGCCATCCCTTGAGGGAGTACTTTCCATTCATATCTCTGATCAGGACCTTCATGATTCAGTGCAGGGATAGTAAATGCAAAACATGGACTATCCTCAGGATGAATTGGAATTGAAAAAAAAACCAATCTTTAATATCTATAGCTAAAACGTACCAGGTTTTTGGCAAAGCAGACAATTGAGGAATCCCTGATTGAGCAGGTCCCATAATAACCATCTCATTATTAATGGCTCTTAAATCTTGCAATAATCTCCATTTACCAGATTTCTTTTTAATGACAAAAATGGGAGTATTATAGGGAGATATGGAAGGTTGTATATGTCCCTCTGCTAATTGTTGTTTGACCAGGTCATGGGCTGCTTGTATCTTTTCTTTAGTCAGGGGCCACTGGGGAACCCATACTGGTCTTTCTGATTTCCAAGTAATTTTTATTGCCTCAGTGACCCCTTCTGAAAACCCAATCCATGTCTATTTATTCCTAGATCTATTTGAATTGGTGTTGCTATACCTTGTTCTTGTTCTCCTAATCTTTTTTCTTTCCTGAAACCTTGTCTAGCCCTAATAGTGAGCGCATTTGGATTGATGTTATTTGTTAATGTCAAACCTAATTGATCTAGAACATCTCGTCCCCATAAATTTATAGGAAGATGATCCAATACATATGGCTGTATAGTTCCTTCACATCCTTCAGGATCCTTCCAATCTAATACCATTGCACTTCTATGGGGATTAGTTGCCACTCCTAGGCCTCGAAGCGTTTGAGTAGCTTGTTGTAACGGCCAATGTTTTGGCCATTCTTGACGAGATATGATGCTAAGGTCTGCACCTGTATCAAGTAGCCCATTAAATTCATGTCCTTGAATATTTAGTTTTAGCATTGAGCGAGAATCTAAATTTAAAGGCAGCATAGCCCAATCCACACCTGTGGAGCCTAATCCCCTGGAACCTCTTTCTGTACTACTGTGGGAAAATTTATCATGCAGGCTGGGTATTATTAATAACTGTGCTATTCTATCTCCTGGTGAAATTACTGATATACCCTTTGGAGAACTAGTATAATTTTTATTTCACCTTCATAATCGGGATCAATTACCCCAGGACTTATCATAAGTCCTTTTAAAGTAGAAGAACTGCGTCCTAACAATAAGCCTACTGTTCCTTGGGAAAGAGGTCCTTTTACTCCTGTGGGAATGATTTGAACTCCCATCTCTGAAGTTAGTACTGCTCTGGCAGAGGCACAGATGTCCAACCCTGCGCTCCCTCTGGTTCATCTGATGAGAGATCTGATGGATAATGTGTCCTGGGCACTATCCTGATGGTGTTGCTAGGTTTCTCCATTATGTTTCTGGGTTCCTCCAGTGCCCCGTATATTTGTGGTCATGGGCCCCGGAGCATTGGGCCCCCCTGTCCGTTTTTTGGCAATGGAGCCTGATGCCTTTCTCCACAATATCGTGGGTAAACACCTGGTCCTTGTCCATTTTTTGATAATGGAGTACCCTCTATGGTGGTTTGAGAACAGCATTCATTAGCCCAATGTCTCCCTCTACAGCATCATGGGCAAATACCCGGTATTCTACTCCTTTGATACCTAGCTTTGTTAAACCCTCCTCCTATGGGGCAATTCCTTTTAAAATGTCCTGTTTGTTCACAGTTGTAG